AATGGTTAAAAGGGGATGTGATTAGAAGACCTGCATCAGAAAAAGTGTGGATGAGTGTTGTGAACGGTATGACTGGCAGGAGAATGTGGGAGAATGTGAAAATTAAGTGGAACAGTATTGAATGTGATAACTTTGATTTTGTGTTGAGGCATAATAGGGTGTTTAACAACCTGATCATTAGTCATGTTGATGCAACTGTTGAGAGAGAGTGTGATGTGTGTAGGATCAGGTTGAAACGTGTTTGCATGAGTTTGTTGAATGTAAAGAGCTTGTTGGTTTTTTTGGAAGGATGAAAGAGTTAATTGGAAGATGTTGGAATGAATGGTATGTGAGAGAAATGGAATGGAAGGAGCTGTGGCTGTTTGGTGTGATTGAGAAGAAGGATGAATGCAATGTGAATCTTTTAAATTATGTTCTGAGCCATGCAAGGCGTACGGTCCAAATAAGGAGGAACATTGCCCATTTCGAGGGTAAAATGTCAGAGGTGTGGCATATATTGAAGAGGACAGTAAAAAGGGACATTAACCTTGTACTAATACATGTGGAAAAGGACATATTTTGCGAGGATTTTGTGGATGGCAGCAGGCTAGTTGAGCTGAATGAGGAGGGAGCATTGTGCTTAAACTTTGAACAGAAAACTAAAGACACACTACCTTTAAGCTAGTGATATGAAAAATTGAATGTGTGTATTATGAGAAATGCTGTATGTATGTGATGAGATGTTAAATGTCTATTTTTGATAATAAAAGATTAAAAAAAAATTTAAAAAGTAGGGGCTTGGACTGGGAGCTGTAGGGTCGCCGGTTCAAGTCCCCGACCAGACCTACAAAATATGGAGTGTGGACTGCTACTTGGAGAGGTCCCAGTTCACCTCCTGCCCTGCCGTGGTGCCCTTGAGCAAGGCACCGGACAACCGCCTCCCCCCCCCACTACCATTGCTCCCCGGGCGCTGTACAATAGCTGCCCACTGCCCCTAGTGCTAGACTCCTGGTACTAGGATGGGTTAAAAGCAGAGAACACATTTCACTGTGTGCTCTGCATGTGTGACCATTACAGAGGGTTTCATCCCTCCGATTCTATTCTATTGTTTTAGGTGTTCATAGATGAACTTTTCAATAGGAACCAATGGACTTGAAACTGAGAGCTAGAAGGTCAGAAAGCATTAAGAGATTAACATGGGGTTTGTATTCTCTAGTCATCTCTAACCTGTTAAACCCCAAGCCTGTTTTTCAGGTCTCAGGCTCGAAAATGATATTCCCAGAACAAATGACCATATCTTCCCTTCTAAAAGGGGTAAATTAATCATCTTTTTTCTCAAAGTAATGATAAACCTGTGAGTTGGATGTAGAAAAGTCAGAATCAATATAGATGTTTTTTATTTTAAAGAAAATTCAGATTGAACATGGTAAAAAACTGTAAATTATAGTGTCCGTCCAAAAAATATTTTGTACTTATAGTGAAAACGCCGTACCCCCACTTATTTGGAGCATGATCTTTTTTTTATAGTCTAATAAATATAAAATCATTGCCAGTCTTATCAGTTGCAAGTGTGTATTTGTTGTAATAATGACAAAAACATAATACATTTCACAGTAATGGCCTATAATAAAAAATAAAAACGATTTCCTTCAAAAATGATGATTCGTCATCACGCTCGTGACCCCGCGGCGAGCTGGGGGTGTGTCAGTGACACACCCACGGCCAGCTCACCGCCCGCCGATTTTGCGGCAGCTCTTTCTCTCAAGAACGCTAACGAAAAAGCTCTATAATGGAAGGAAAACGTTTTTTACTTGACTTCTTTTCTAAAAAGAATATAATTCACAAGAAGAAAGAGGCTAGCAGCACCGAAGCTACAAGTGAAGCTGCTACTAGTATTACATCATCAGAAGAGCCGTCTAAAGACGTGAATAATGCTAGCTAACGTGCACGTTAGCTGCGCTAGCAACGTTCCCCTGGCTAGCTCAAGCTCACCTTTCCCAGAGGTATGGACGGAGGACATGTGGCAGAGGAAACAAGAGGCTACCCGTGGATAGACTGCAAAGCTGGGAAACTGGGCTGCTGTTCATCCATTTCGGATTTATCAGTCTTCAAAATGCAAGGCGTGTGCGTGTGTGTGTGTGCGTGTGTGTGTGTGTGTGTGTGTGTGTGTGTGTGTGTGTGTGTGTGTGTGTGTGTGTGTGTGTGTGTGTGTGTGTGTGTGGTGTGTGTGTGTGTGTGTGTGTGTGTGTGTGTGTGTGTGTGTGTGTGTGTGTGTGTGTGTGTGTGTGTGTGTGTGTGTGTGTGTGTGTGTGTGTGTGTGTGTGTGTGTGTGTGTGTGTGAAGCAGCGCTCTCTGCTTATTTGCAATGTAGGCTAGGCCTAATCAGAATAATTTCAAGTCCAGATTCAATGTTTGCATTAGTAGGCTATATTTTTCGTTTAGTTTATAAGTTAATTTCAGGACAACTTTGGGAATTTTGTTTGTTTGTTATGTTGGTCGAACGCACTTATTGTACGTCGCTTTGGATAAAAGCGTCAGCTAAATGCAATGTAATGTTATGAGTTTTAAATAGATTTTGAAAGTGGAGATAGAGAGAAGCAGCGCTGTCTGCTTAGTTGTAGCTTATGCAATTTAGGCCTATAAATTGTTGTAACTTATGTGCCAGTGTGTCCATGGTTTTGAGTCTATGTGTGTGTTGAGCGCAGCGCAGTCTGCTTTTTGAAGTACAGTAACTAAAGTAGGACTAAGCATACCGGTAGTTTCTGTGGACCTGTCTGCCCGTTTTGTGAGTGCACTGCGCGCGTGCGCACTTGTGTGGCATTGTTTGGGATGACCTAATTAAAATAGCGTCCCCCCAGTAAAAAAATCCCCACTACACCACTGGTGAAAACTAACCTTGGATGATGGGTTAGTAGACTAAAAGCTTTAGGAATCCAAAGTACAACATATAATAAGTACTAGGGCTGTGCAATTAATCATATTTTAATCGCGATTACGATTATGGCTTGCGACGATTATGAAAACAGCATAATTGACAAAATACGATTATTTTGCTGGGTGCGCTTCACCCCTCCCTAAAAGCCCACTCAGCCACGTGGGAGTGACATGTGTTGTGAGTGTTCAGCGCGAGCGAAGATGTCAGAACAAGAGCAGTAACTCGTTAAAAAGAAGGGTAAAACTATTTCCACTATTTGCAAGTACTTTGCCATTACATTCCACATCGCTAAAGATATGTGCCCAGTTAGCACTGTTAGCAACCAGGGCTTTAAGCAACTTGTCAACACGTTGGACAAGCGTTACGCGATGCCGTCTCGGTATTATTTCAGCAGGTCTGCGCTGCCTGCGCTATGTGACAAATGCCGTGACTACTTTGCGACCACAACGGACCTATGGTCTAGCCCAGGGGTGCCCAACCAGTCGATCGCGAGATGTGTCTAAAAATAGAACAACAATATTCTGTTTTATCGTTAATGTCCTGTAACATAATCTTTCTGTGCCAGAATAATGCACTTGAACGCATCAAAGCTTTGTGATTGGCCGGCGTCACCCCATGTGTCGGGGCGTGGCTGAGGGTCTTCAGTTCAGGTGGCAATATCGTCACCTGCCTGCGCTCATCTCTGAAACCAGACCATGTAAACAGGCTGTTGTTTCTTGCAAAAAACCTTTAAGAGATGACATGAGCAGCCCTACCAGCATTTGTCATGGTGGCCTAAACATTTTTATTTGGTCTTAAATTGGTCTTAAATTTATTTCCTGTTACTTCTGGACCATGACGGTTGGCCAGCCTTCAACGTTTAACTGAGTGGAATAATGAATATGTTTTACCAAAATGTTGGCTATGTTAAGGAGTTTTCAGTAGGTTGTGACAGTGCACTGCATCATATTGGATTTAATTTATTTTGGTCTAATTTATTTTTATTTATCATATTAATATATGTTTAGTATGGTTTTGGAAGTGCGCTCCAACATATTTGTTGATCTTGTTTATTGGTAAAATATTATTTGTTTTAAAGTTCAATAAATGGTCAATGAATAATCGTCAAAATAATCGTGATATCAATTATTGACCCAAATAATCGTGATTATGATTTTTGCCATAATCGCACAGCCCTAATAAGTACCCTGTATCAAGATTGATGCAAAACAAGTGATATTTGACCTTTTTTAGACAGATTTAGCAAAAAAACCTCTTCTGGGGCCATTTGGGTGGATTTTCCATATCTCTGGCCCCCCTTCTTCGATTTTGACATGTGACATCTCTTTCTGACCGTTAAAGCCAATAGAATCCAAGGGAAATTGTCCCACACACACTCATGTTTAAAAAAAAAGGTGTCGTCTCTGCGCATGCTAGCTTGCAGCAGAGGGGAGAAATATCACTGCTCTGATATCAAGCAACGGAAAAGCTGTTTTATTGCTTATGGATTATCAGAACATTTCAAAGGGGACGCAGTCACATTGGATTAACCTATGGATTAACTACACCATCGTTTTAATGCCATTGAAGACCAGTTTAGACCAGACAAAGACGAAGGTAAGCCATGTTAGCGTTGTGGGCTACCTAGCGCCACTTGTTTTGATGTACGTTTTTGTTGATAACGTCGCGAGTTTGTATCTTTCAGTGTTGAGGTGGGCACCGTTAAATTCTGTGTCTCCTTGCGATCATAAACGATGTGTTGGATGTGCACCTAGGATAAGTAATAAGGGAGCTAGGAGTGATTATCGGTGCAGTAATAGGTTAGCATTTTTCGCTCAGGGGTCATTTAGATGCTTCGTATGAGACTTGTGTTTTGTTTTGGTAAAAATGGTTTGTATCGTCAGTTAGCTGAGATTATTCCCGTTAATCTGGTATAACACATTAATAGGTTCTTAAATATTAAGATCCCCTGAGACACAGTGTCGTGAACACAAAAAAAAGGACCTGCCGAGGGGGTCCTTGGGGCTTAACAGGCTAATTGGGCAGGGGAACTTTTATTAAATGTAATTAAAAAATGTGTTTATTTCACTGTTGTAGGCCTACTCACCCAGAGCTGGATGTCTGGTCAAGAAAGGCTTGGATGACCAGTGGTAGCTCAGATTTGACGATGAACAGGTAGCTGGACATGGCTGCACAGAAGGAGACAGTGGGAAGAAGAGTGATTATTAGTCTATAAGGCCAGATGGATTTGTTTACTTTTATTTATTTAACCATTTCAAACACTGATGTTTTGGCACATTTGGTTCTGTTGGCAAACATTTCAATAATGACACATAGGCTTTATACAAGTGTATTACCTCCAATATTATGAAGCGTGATGACGATCGCTGCTAGAATCTTCCCTGGATGACCAAAAGCTCTCAGGCCCAGCTGCTCATAGGCACGAATACCTGCAGAGAGACACAACAGGAAGTGAACTGCTTAACGCTTTGGAACAAATAAGGAAATAGCCTAAAGACCTGAGTATTGCGAAGCAGACATCTTAAATACAATTGTGTGTGTGTGTGTGTGTGTGTGTGTGTGTGTGTGTGTGTGTGTGTGTGTGTGTGTGTGTGTGTGTGTGTGTGTGTGTGTGTGTGTGTGTGTGTGTGTGTGTGTGTGTGTGTGTGTGTGTGTGTGTGTGTGTGTGTGTGTGTGTGTGTGTGTGTGTCCTCACCCACAACTCCAGCACTGCGCAGCAGCAGATGGACAGAATAACAGGACAGGCAGGCGATGCATGTCAGCAGGATCCTGTAGAACACAAACAGGAATGTCATTAATGTCTAACCAAACATATGGATTAGTTTTAGTATTGTGTGTGTATTGTACAGCCTTGGGGCAGCATTTAGAAATAACTACTAAGACCTCTAAGCTCCAGAGAATGCTCCAGAGAATCCTCCACATGTGTCAAATCCTGATATGCCTTCATATTTGTTCATGTGTTGTGTTGGTTCGTTGCATGGGCGCGGGAAGGGGGGTGATGAGGGCGCTGCAGCACCCCCTAGCGGCAGGCAGGCGATGCGGAGCTCCCCTGTCTGAATTATTATTTGACGGTTATTGCTGCTCCCGCTGTGCATAATCTGTGTAATATGTAGCCAATAAATTCCACATTGTTGGTAACATAATATTTGACATCTTTGTAGTGTGTGTGCTCGCCAGTGGCGTCACCTGGCCTGCCCGAATGTTTTTTCTGTAGCCCCGGACAATTCTACCTCAATAATATAATACATTAACCGTGCTTTACGTGAACCTCATCATGACACTAGAGAGGACGGCAGGACTGTCATGTTCCGTGTTAGGTGAATGTAACAGAGGCAAGACACCAGACCAATCAGAGAGTTGCATGGAAATAAAAGTGTGCGTTTATCATTCAAGCTCGGCTCTGTGAGAGAGAGAGAGAGAGAGAGAGAGAGAGAGAGAGAGAGAGAGAGATAGGAGAGAGGAGAGAGAGAGAGAGATGAGAGGAGAGAGAGAGAGAGAGAGAGAGAGGAGAGAGAGAGAGAGAGGGAGAGAGAGAGAGAGAGAGAGAGAGAGAGAGATGTTTGTTCCACAACAAGCTGGAGAAGAGCTCTCCTCTCAGACTGAGAGGCTCAGGTGAGCTAAAGGACTCTGAGTGTTTAGATAGTTCACTTTAGTCTAAGTTATCTCAGTGGATCTCAAACGTTTTGGTCACAAATTATTCAAAAGATTATTTCCGCGGCACACCTTCATATGATCAGTGTAGTTAGAAAAAAAATAAGATAATAAAGGAAAAACAGTTATGAAATACTATATGGCAGTAAAACAAGAATACAGTTTGAAAGGAGAGTGATTTGTAAAATATCCATAAAGAAAAAGAACATCTGATTACAGTTGTGTTTCATCTGGGTGTTGAGAGATGTATCCATAGATCTCTTAATGTTGCTCTCAAAGGCCACCAGATTGATGCTTTTAACTTCAATATTTTAAAAAAATCTCCCCGGGGAAGCATGCCCCCGGACCCCCCTAGAGGAGGTGAGGTCCGCTCCCCACTCGTAAAAAGTAGCACTTTATCCCTGCCTATATGCCGTGAGTTGATTATCGAGCCTTCATTGTAACAGTCGCGGGTGTACTGTGTGTTTGCGTGTGGGGAGTGTTGCAGTAGAACATTCCACTGTAGCGCCCCTGGTGCTCGCGCTTTTGTGCGTGCTATATAGCAGTGGTTCTCAAATAGGGGTACGCGGACCCCTAGGGGTACGTTGGAGTACTGCAGGGGGTACGGACCCAAGTTCCCATCAGCAAAAACACGTGGGTTTGCTATCCTGGCTCCTAAATGGTGGAATGAGCTCCCCATCAGGACAGCAGATAGCTTACACACCTTCCGGTGCAGACTGAAAACTCATCTCTTTCGACTCCACTTCGAGCGATATAACTATTAACAAAGCACTTATATACTAATAAAGGGCTGGCTTATCTAAAGCCAGTTGAGTAGCACTTGAAATGTTTTTGCTCTATGAAGCCTGATGTACTTATATGATTCTGTTTTCTTCAAGTTTGTATTTTGTTGGTCGAACGCACTTATTGTAAGTCGCTTTGGATAAAAGCGTCAGCTAAATGTAATGTAATGTAATGTACGTGAGATTTATTTTATGTTAATGAACAAAGAAAAATACCAATTTTAGGAAAAGTAACGAAGTTTGAGCAGTGTGGGTAATAACTGCAGTGGCCTTCCTGTGACTGAGAATAACAAAGATCCTCAGTGAAGCACAAGCCCATGTTTCTCACTACATTGTAAGTACAACTTATTAAAAAGATCAGTTCAATGCAACTAATGTCGTCTGTGTTATTGCATGATGTTAAAATTGGTTTGCCATGAATTTAGTGATGGATTGTAAACATTTGAAATGTAGCATTTAAGTGTTTCTCAGTTACAACGTTGTTGTTTTAATAAATCAGACACCGATGGTGCAGCACTATACTGTACCTCTTTATATAGGCATTTTTTCCCTAACAAATTGTTTTTGCGCTGGTACTTGGCTGAATTTTTTTTTCAAAGGGGATACATTATTGAAAAAAGTTTGAGAATCACTGCTCTATAGTGCCCGTAATAGTGTTCACTGGAGTCCAGCACCTCAGCACCCCCATTCAAAATACCTTCCTGCGCCTCTGGTTGGTTGTGTTTCACAGAGTTGTATTGCTGTTAACTTTTGTACTAAAGTTAATGATTAGGTTATAGGTATTAGCATATGCATCTCACATAATCCTTGCCATTAAACATGACACACTTACAGCCTTCCCTTTACTTATCTGGAACACTATGGGTCAGATCAGTCTCAAAAATAAATAAAGGCACACAAAAGGATACACAAATGTAATTCCGGATTTATGTCTCCCTCCACACCCCAAGTGGCAAACTCTGGGGAAGAGCTGGGACGCCAATATGGAAGTGCCACACACTGAAGTTCATACATGGGCCACTAGGGACTGACTGCAGAAAGAAGCAATTTCCATAGACCCCCATGTTAAAATGCCCAACTTTACAGCAGAAAAAAACATGTTTCTACCCATGGATGCAATAAATATTATTATCGATATAGTTAGATTCCACCTTCATGATTATGAATCTGTGAGTGAATTGTTTTCTAACACGACCCTTTTATTTATATTAGGTCTTAACGTCTTTGCATAAATTAGGGCGTGGTCACTTTGATGGACACGTACATGCCTCACTGTCAGCTAACAGCAACTTGTCCACTCTGCTAGGCTACAACGTTAGTTAGTCATACAGATGGAGCACTCCAGATCAGACTCAGATGGGTGTGTCCCAGTCAAAAGCCCAGTGGATGCCAGTGGCTGGGGGTGTTGCCAAATTGCTAGAGGGCGTTGCCCAATTTCCCCATTTGTTCAATTACAGGATTTAACCATGAGATGGCGCTTCATTCACAAAATACACAAAGACAACTGTTTGCAATGTTTGCAGCTCTGCAGTTGTGTTTGCTGAATACTGTAGCATTTAATCACTTATTTGTTACTGTATGGTTTTCACAAGCTACTATAATGAAAAAACATCAATATTTTAGATCAAATAAAGTATATAGTTTGCTTTATGCAGTATATTTTTTGTAATATTGTTGGGGTGTTTTACACAGTACAGTAGATTGAAGTAAATCAACTTATACATTAAGATAAGATAAGATGGACCTTTATTAATCCCGTGGGGAAATTCAGTAGTTCAAACAGCAACAGGGTGAGAGTGAAAAACAGGACCGCACAGATTCACACAGATTAATAAAATCAAAAATAAGATGAGCGATAAAAATAATAATAATGAGAAACTATGAAATAAGAAATGAATAAAACTAAAATATAATTATCATATCATATATTATAATGTATTGTAATATCATACATTAACCCCATTATAGCAGATGCCACATTGAATGGATGAACACATTTATGCATCAATAATTACAACAGAGTATTTCTAAATACAAGTTGTAAAAATACTTATATGTATTTAATATTAACCCTTTGGAGTCGACCGTCACGCCGGCGTGATCAGATCACATGACCTGTGCCGCATAAAAACAACAGTCCGGACAACATTGCCGTGTGTTTCTGTCGAAAGTACTGGCTTAAAACTATATCCCAGTCTTTGTTTCATGCAAAAAGACCCAGTAAACACGGAGATACGACGATATAAAGTTAATACATTTCAAAAGTATGAAAAATGGAAGCACATATTTGAATATCTTCGCCGTATTTTATCATTTTATGAAAAGGAAAATACTGGAAACTGTAGATCCTGCTCAACAGGATGTATATGTGTATTTCTGTCGAAAGTACTGGCTTGAAACTATATGCCAGTCTTTGTTTCATGCAAAAAGACCCAATAAACACGGACATACGATGAAATAAAGTTAATACAGATATATTTCAGAAGTATGAATAATGGAAGCACATATTTTAATATCTTCGCCGTATTTTATCATTTTACGAAACGGAAAATACTGGAAACTGTAGATTCTGCTCAACAGGATGTGTTTACCAGGGAGGGGGTGAGGTAATCAGGTAAACGGAGTGATACGAAACGAGACGAAAAGAGACGGCGGGAGACTGCGATTGAAGCAAAGTGACAGACAAACATTGAGAATTTAGATATAGTTAGATAGATTTAGAGTTTTGAAGATTCAACTAAGAGAACTCTGAACGTGAGTCAAGCTTTAAGCTTGTTTTTTGACATGGAGGAGGAGGAATCTGTGATGTTGCCCTCTGTGTCGTATTGACAGAAACCGCTTTGAAGCGTGGCACAGATAAAGACAGAAAAAACTGATTTTTGTACATAATGTGTATATATATATTTGTATTATATTTATAATAACACTTTTGCCTTATCAGAATGAAATCCCATGCTACCTAAATCAAACTTTCACATTATCATAGTGACATCCCATGTATATATTTCCAGCTTTTAAATGGTTTCGTTGTGTATGTTTGTGTTACCTATGAAAAATAATATCATTTTCAAAATCTGTTCTTACGTTTTTTTTGTTGTGATTTTGGGTCCAAAATGTTCATATAGTAGAAGATCACTGCTCTAAACAAAGTCAAAAATCCTACATCCAAACGAAATAAATATAATTAATTATGATGAATACGTTAAGTCTTGTTCATTGTTTTTCACTTTTATTAAATGTTTGATATTTCCGGTGGAAATGGTGGACTATCGGACATTCAAAATGCAGCATATTTTCACTCTTACACACATATATTCTCCTTTTACATAAATACATTTTCACTCTACACTCATATATTCTCCTTTTACATACATACATTTTCACTCTTACACACA